TTGGACTCTCTCCAAAACAATCTTGTCTACAACAATTTTCTCTGTACAATGAATTTATTTTGGGTTCCAAAGCGCTTTCTCTCCATGTTATAGGCATAGGGGTTCTCTACAACGATTTTTTCCGGGTCCCTTGCATTTCGTTGTGGAGAGTCCACCTGTGATACGGAAACTGACGCATCGGATACCTCAAAGATGACAGGGTACAAGAAGAATCGCTCCCTCAATCTATGATCTCGTCACGTAAATTGGCGAAAAATACTGAAAAAATAACTGTCAATGGCTCTCACTTTCGCCCATGTAGCCATAGCCAGTAACTGTGCACCGAGTCCCAGCCTGGCGCTCCACACCCCTAGCAGGCAAGCACACCAAACAAACCCCGGGTCTCAGCTCCGCCTCGCTGTGAAGTTTCAGCAAAGCAACATCGTTGTCCAACGTGGCCGAGTTGTGGTTGTGGTGAATGTAGGTGGTGGAAACGCGAAGCGTTTGTGCGCCAGAACTGCCCCACTTGCTCGTTAAATCATTGTCGCCAACGCGAACATAAATCGCATCTCCACTCCTGACAATGCTGGAAAAGAAAGGAAGACAATTTATTACCAAGGATTCATGAACAGAACAATAAAATAATAACTTTCTCCAATCCATCAATACGAAAATGCGGGTTTTGTGCACAAGTAGAAGTTGTCAAGACATTTGCGTTTCAGGACTGAGTTATAGTAAGTATTTAATCCGAATTTATGCCCGAAGATAAATAATTCATTTTACAGTATTCGACACCGATCAAGGAAGCAACAAGAGTCGATCTTCAGAAACTTCCAATGACGACAAACGCCAGGATGAACATCCATCGTCCAGCTGCAAGGGAAATTCCGGGCAATGGCTTTTAGAATATTTATTATGTACCGAATGATTTTTCACAAAAACGCAGTGAAGTAGGGCCCCGTCACGCGGACGCCCCGAAATATGGAAGATTCGACTTGGGAACATTTTCATGAAAAAAAAAATCAGATTATGCGTGGTTTCTTTGCAGCGTTACTTTCTTCATGTTTGAGTCGAGGAAAATTATGTTATTCCATTTTTTCTGAGACTTCTTCCTCTGATCAACAGGAGAACCAATTGAATGTATAAAACGTACTGTATTCATACAAGTCTAAGGGACAATGTGATCCAACACGCGGAAATTCCTGCATAGAGACAAGAGTGTCTTAAGCAGTGTAAGCAACAATTACATCCGCATCTCGGTGCCCAACTTGCACTTGAATATCATATGTTGGGTACTATACAGAATCACAAGAGATCCTAATCCTTGATGACTGTTGATAATACAGTCAAACCCCAATAAGACGCCATCATTTGTCCAGAGCAATTTCGGCGGTTTAAAGGGGTTGGCGGTTTATTGAATATTTCATTTTAAATTATTTAATCTAAAATACTCGATTTTACTCCAAAAGTCATAGAGATACAGGTTTTTTAGAAACGTCAGTAATTTTCCAGAGTGTTGCTGAGATCAATGGATTACTCTTCCAGAAAATTGACTTTGCTGCATCAATATATTCAAACTCTAAGATTAGGTCAATACAGTATATTGTTCAAATTTTTCGAACAAAAAGATCATTATTATTTTTTTTTCAAGTGCAAGATCCTTGACCAAAATTACGATTCCAAAACAATGTTGGCGTTGTAACGGAGACAAAACCAACAGTGACAGCACTTTTGTTTCATCACTAATACTGTCAGATGGCGGTTGGTGTCTTATCGAGGTTTTCTATAGAATTTAACATGGAGCACAATTGTTTAATTGAAAATGTTGGCGGTTGCCGAGGGTGGCGCTTTATCGGGGGGCGTCTTAACGGGGGTTGACTGCACTAGCTTTCCTCCGAAAACATTTGGTCCATTTTTTCATCTCTCCGGCTTTTCGAACTTTTCCACATTCAACAGACGTCGCCTCAAGCTCAAACGAAGAAAGTTCAAGCAAAATTAACCTGAAATGACAAACACAGCGCTACAGAACTTGAAAATTAAGACTACACCAATGCCCGAAGAAGTAAGATTCTAATTCGGGGGGCAGAAGAGGTGGAAGACAGAGAAGAATCAATTTTTTTGAAATAAAAAAGACGAAAAATAAACTGAACCTCCGTACGTCGATTTTTTGAAGGCCCTGTCTGAATTTCATCATAAAGAATGCATTCAAAGCTTCCCCAACTCAAAGGCTTTCCCTCTCAAACCTGCATAACTGCAATTTTCTGGAGGCCTTTTGCCGATTATTTTATTGACACAGGGAAGAGAAAAGCAATAAAAAATGTAACTTGATGCATTATGAAAAGAAGTGAAAGGCTGATTGGCAAATAAACCGTTGCCTTCAACTCCAGCATCCTGTCAACTCATTCAGGAAGCAATTTAAGGACCAGGATATCACCGAGTACAATCTCCCGTTAATTTTCTTCCTTTTCTGAAATGAAAAAAACTTGTTTCCCCAACTCAAAATCTCCCTAACTCAAATTTCGACTGTATTCAGCGCAACATTTGTCAGGTATTGTACAGTACTTCCACATCAAAAGTTTTACGCGTACAGCTTCTTCACATCTCATGCCGCTTTGCATAAAACGTTGACGTGAATGAAGCATTGTGTCACTCGTCGACAGTCCTGGGTGACGAAGGGTTAGTTTCGTGGCGGCGTGTTCATGACCAAGTCCCTCAACTAGTCGCGGTGGACGGTCGTGGTGAGTAAGAGGGCAGCATCTTCACCACCGACAACTCTGCTCATTCTGTGCGTTCCCTTCAGTCCGCAGATGTACTTGCTTTTCGGAGCCAAGGGATTCAAGTAGACGGATGATGCCATCTCTGCCATTGGGAGCTTGAGTGGTCGAGGCAGTGGCCGCGGAATGACGCCAGGTGGAATCACCGGGCGCCGCAATCCCACACCTACTGAATTGTAAGATAATTACAGTAGTACCTACGAAATTCCACTGCATTTAAATCCCTGACATGATGTGAACTTTAGTTTTTGTTGTCGTTTAATCAGGAGGATTTTTATTCTGATGGGTAGAAAGAGAGAAATTTTCACAAACGTAGGAAATTTGTCCAGTTACTATTAAAATTTTTCTACCTTTAAAGCTTTTTCAACTGCTTCTTTATAAGTATTGGGGATCTCATTAATTCTTCCTCGAATATGGGGTAATAATCCTTTGATGAATTTGTTTGATTTTATTTCGGCAAGAAAAGCACTTCTACATTGAGCTTTAATTTCTTCTTGTTCATACATTGGGTTAGCAATTCACGTCCGCATTCCGTCTTGCCGTAATACTTTAATTTTGGGGGTATGTCCTGCATCTAATAATTAGCGGCAGCAATATCAAGTCTGAAAGAGAAGTCTCTTACTTTCTCATTTTCTAGAACGAATTACATCAGTTCCCTTCGGTCAGGTAGGCAATTTAGAAGACATCGCTTTTATAATGCAATTTATATAATTTATATAAAGACCTTGAACGTTGGTAAATTCGTCCTGTAAGTGTTTTTTTACCTGATGCAGGCTTTAGTTCAATAGTCCTGCAGCTTTTGCATTTCTTGAGATCAGTGATAGATCTCAATATTCTCTCATTCAAATACAGTAAAATCTCGTCACAACTAACTCCCAGAGACCTGATAAAGAATGTTTCATTAAGATTCGTGGTTTTAAAAACATTAATGCGTTAGATTTTGTGGGAAAGGGGCCATGAACATGGTGAAGTGCTTCTGCACCAAATATACTGAAAGACTTGTTCTTATTATTAACCCACTTTGATAAAATTCAAAGTAAAATTTTCGAAAAACCTCCTCTTATTTTCAACCTGCATTGCTTCAAATCCCCTAATTTGCTGATCTCTTGAAAAATAAAATGATAAAAAGTCGCAAGTAAAAAGTAGCTTCTTCCAGTTATTCATTCAAGTACTGTACACCCATTTGTTCTTTGAATAAGATGTACATTGTTCACGACATACAGTACTGTTCATTCAAGAAAAAGGGTCAACTGGAAAATTCTCAAACGAGCCTACCCAAATTTTGGGAAAACCATACTGTGTAATATTGCACTAAATTTTATTCCCAAAAACTTTCCATTTTTGATAATGCACAAGTCTAAATTTTACCCTTTTCTTCACACGATGAAACATTCCTTATGACCCAATTTTAGAAAGAAAGCAAAAGTGCGTTACAGAGTAATGAAATTTCGGATGGAAATTACTTCGTTGAAATGAGGTTATCATAACATTGTTCCCATGAAAGAACTGTTGGGACCGAGAAAAACAATCGACACAATGAAAAAATCGTTAAATCAAGATTAGTTCTAACGGAATTTTACTGTATAGGAAGTACATCATTTAAATCCGGCTGAACTTCACTTAGACTTTCTTCCAAACTGGTTACAAATGAAGGGGAGAAGAGGTTAAACTTTTCATTTATGAGGAAGGCTCACTCGAAAGCATGACTAAACTCGGACATGATGAGGAGCTATGAAATTTCTGAAAAAAAAAAATCTACCGAAAAATTTTTGTTTTAAGCATCTCAAAATAGAGAACACGAATGAGTTCCATGATTTTTTTTTCAACGTTGGTTGAAAAATTAGTTTCGGTTAGGTAATTTTATTTTTTCCAAGTTACTTTATTTTTGGTTAGGTTAGTTTAGGTGAGGTCAAGATCACATCAAGTTAGGTTAATTTAGGTTTCTTTTTTTTCAATTTTCTTGGATGAAATTTTGTACAAAAAATTATTCGGGAATTAATTTTAGATGTCCTGAAGAAAAAAAAATGAAGGACCAAAATATTAAACGTAGAGTGGCAATATTTCCACATCAATTCTCGCACATTTCAAACACGCAACATCAACAACACGAGCGAGGATCCAAAACCCTGCAGGGAACAAAAGAACTTACGATGCGGGAAGGAATCGTTCCTCGATAAGTGAAGCGGACTCGGCACAACTTGGTTTTGCCACAAAGGTGGGGCCGGCAAGGGTCTGTAGGGCCGCCTGCCTTGGTCCCCAAAGTCTCCCACAAACGGCGGCACGAACTGAGGCAGTGTTTGCTGCTCCATCGCTGAAACCAACGGACCCGGGGGCTGCAACCCTGGTGGCAGCACCGTCAAGGGCGTCTTATTGAGCTTCTGAGCTTGTCTCTCTTGGAGCAGGCGCTGCACGGCAGACTTGGGAGCGCAACAAGACACTGATTTCCTTTCACACTTGAACAAATCTGTCATTTCCGCATTGCCTGAAAACGCACATTCCAACGGTCTTTCAACGAGTCACACCAATCAATGCGATCAACACACCAAAGCAAGTGAATGACAAGAAGGGAGCAATGCAAGTCCCTGCGCAGTCTTGCCTTGGATCTGGCGGCTCAGTCGTAGTTGTAGTAGTCGTAGTAGTAGTGGTAGTGGTGATGGGTTTCCTTTGCGGGGCCTGAGGTCTACCGCTTCCGAAAGGAGAGATGACATCCGGAGCCAGAAGACCGAGCAGGGTTCCCAAAGAACCCAATGAAGAGGACGCTGAAGGAGGTTTTCTCTGCGGTTTATTCCTCGATGGAACCTGTGTTTGGGGTGGCTGCCTGTTGCTCGTGGCGGCACTTGGTCTGTCCACACAACACACAGTGCCTTCTTCACACGTAGTTTGAGGAACGAGTCGTGAAGGTGACGTACAGAAGGTTGACATCAGCAGAGAAACACATCTAAAAAACACAGTACAGTTTACATTTTCAATCTCCAGCTACTTTGATTGACGCCACTCGGAAAAATCATCCATCACAACACAGAACATATTAAACGACAGCGATAATCAAATCTTTTCCATTCACCCTTGCATGTACCGTACTTACTCCGGTTATGCATGCACTTTTTTTTTCTTCTCAGGATTACGAAAAAAAGAGGGTGCGATTCACAGGCAGGGATACAATTTTCAAAAATGTTTTTCAAGTTTAGGTCTACATCATGCTTGATAGTAATTGGAATATTTTGACAGGAAAATTTTTAAAATTGAAACAAATGAAAATAATTGAATTCTTATCCAAATTCATATTACGGTACCTGTTTTTTTAATATTGCAGTTTTTCAGTCACTAAAAATCAGTACATCTCTTATGTGAGGATGGGATTCTATCAAAGCTTCTAAACAGAAAAAACTACATGCATATCTTAATTGAAAGCACGTGGTACTCAATTAAATACAATATTTTCCTTTTCTCCTCATGGAGACTCCCTTAGCTTTCAAGTGTCTATCATTACTGTATATTGCCTGAACTTCATGGAAAGATGCATCAATGCAGTTTGGCACTGTATTCACAGTAAAACAGAGCAATATTCGCTCAAGTACCAAACATACCAAGGTTTTTCAGCCAAAATTTTTTCGAAAATTGCACCCCAAAGCAGGGTTGTTAATTGTGCCACAACTTAGCACAATCACAACCACAAGCCTTGCAATTGTGGTTGGGCAATACATTTTTCACTCATTGCAATAGTGATTGCAATTGTATTTGCGATTCGGGTAAAACTGACAAAGTCACAATCACAACTAATACCAAATAACTTCGGCAGTGTATTCATTTTTCTTGGGGAAATTGATTTAAACCATGACCAAAATTCAACAAAAAATGATACACTTTTTTCATGAACTGTGTAAGTTGCTAGATGGAAGAGGATATATTGATTTTTATGGCTTCAACTTAAGACAGGTTGGCACAGAAAGAAGCTTGTAATATTTTTTTTATTGATAATTGCACTTGGATGAAAGAGTTTGGGCAATACGTCAGAAAAGCTATTTAGCTTTATTTATAATTTTTGGTACTTTGCTCCTTTATCAAGGCAGATGTTTTCTGTTTTTTTTTGTATGGTGGGAATCTAAATGGAATGAGAAGAGGTGACATCCCTATGATGCAAAAGTATGGTTTTGATTAGATTTTTTTTTATATTCTCTTCATACATTCACAAGATTGATATTTTGGAAATAATTTCAGATTAATCAGGGATGATTACACTGAATGTGAAAAGCACAGGTTGAAAATCTTGAAAAGAGTTGCGATAACCCTTGCAATTGCGCCTCGGCAAAAAAGAAAGACATTGTAATTGCGATTGGGGATGCACAACATTAGTGCCTTGTGATTGCGATTTTGACAGTGGAATAATTTTTGTGCTGGATTGGGATTGAAATTGGGCAAGTATATTTTTGATTGCAATTAACAACCCTGCCCGAAAGTAAGACACAAACTCAATTTTTAGTCACTCAAAGACTGCTATATTTCAAAACTAAGAAAACCAAAATTTGAATTTGGAAAAAAATCAAACCCAACTTATACTAATTTACAAGCATTCCCATTGCAATACATTTTTCTGTTGAAACTGGTCCAGCATTTCCTATTAGAATCAAACATTATGCACACCTGAACTTATAAAACTTCTTGAGAACTGTATAGCCACCTAAGACGCACACCGCTTTTTTCATCAATTTCAAGAAAAAAGGTGTGCATGGCACTCAAGCAAACACGGTATACAATATAAATACAGCCTCGCTGCCAAGAGCCCCAGACCACAAAAAAGAGGATGATTTCTCTTCCTTAATCCTGCTTGAAATTATACTCTTAATAATTTATCCTTGGCCTTCTAAGTGCGACTGGACACGGTATTTTTTCTCCCGAACACTCCTGGCGAAGTATCGCGAATAACCTCGTTTTCTTGGAACCTTCTCAAAATTATCTCGAAGTCTAAACGTTAATCAATTTTCAACACACATGCACGAGAACGGACATGATCACTGAAAATGTCGCAATTGAAGTGACGTCTCACGATCACCTTCCAATACAATATACAAGTTCCGACTCACCTTCCAGGACAACGAGGTGTGACTTGACTCTGTCCAGTAATTTGGCCCATTTCCAAGCCTTGTTGCACAATATCCTCTTTAGTCAAACAACATTGGCCCCCTGACGGACACACAGACTCCGCATCCACCTTGTCACACAGAAAGGTAAAGAAGGATCCAACGCACGTTCCCTTGCAGCGATTGTTCGCTGGAATGGACTCCAAGTCCTCCGCGGGCGCTTGGGTCGTAGGTCGAAAAGGTTCCGAAGGCACACGCTTCGTAACGATCGACGAAAGCGATGGGCTCTCGTTCAACATCAAATCCTGCGGCGGGTCTTGTCCCTCGAAAACTTCACGCGTGACACAGCATCGGAGAGACCCCTTACACAACTTGGGTCGTGTCAACACGGCATCACAGTACTCGGAGATGCTCGGAGCAACGCACACACCCGGACACTCAACGAAAGTCTCCCCACTCGACACCTTTTTCATCACTGTGTCTACATATTCTACGTCTTCATCTGTATTTTCATGGATCACCTGATGCTTCTCTGGCAATGGCGCGACAGTTTCAGTTACACTGTCCAACGTCGTCTTCCGGGACGCTGGGGCCTCTGAAACGAAGACAAAAACAGCACATTAATCCTCGTTCAAGCTGACCCGCCTCTTCTTTTCTATTTGCTGCCACAGCAAATCGGGCAATTTAAATAACTTAATTTTAAATCTACCCGGCCTACCGTATTCCAAAGAAGAAATAAACACAGTCGGACCTTTTCACCTCAAACCTCCCAAACTGGAATTGCTTTCCAGTCCCTGTCCGAAATCCCTCCAGAACAATGTAACCTGAACCTCTGTTACTAAATGTTTCAACTGTGCACCTCCCTAACTCGAAATTTGTGAAGACAAGGAAGGACAGGAAAATCAAATAAGGCTTTTGGAAAGGAAAATGAACAACTTGAACTAATCCATAAAATCCTGGCTTGAGGCTATGCATCTGTAGACTCATGCATGCTGCAGTTTATTGCGGTTAGCCTCTTTTATGTAGCAGTGGGAATAATTAAAAGAATGTTTTGGACACACTGCACAAAGTTTCAGCCCCAATCGCTTCTTCCCAAATTTCCAGCAAGCATTTCCAGACCTAACCTCCCAAACTCAAAACCTGCAAGTCAAATTTTTTGTAGGTCCCTTCAAATTCGACTCAGAGAGGTACTACAGTACTGAACTTAGAACTTAAGGACTTACTGCATTATTGGGCAATGTTCAAGTACATTGGTAATGCTGTACTGCACTGTATATCCCACCAAGAAAATAAGCCATCAGAAGATGAGGGTTGAAAAACGGGCACACATTAACAAACACTATGGAATGAACTTAACAATACAGTCACACGAAAATTAAACTTCCGAAGATAATGCCTGACATTCACCAACCTCCAAACCTTTTGGATGGCCACAAAGATAGGTCGTATTCTCCGGCAATTAAAAAATCTCACCTGTGCTGGTACTCCGTGTTGTGGGAGGAAAAGTTGTTTCTGGAACAGCTTTGATAGCAGGATTCTTCTCCGTGCAGCACCGTTCATCACTCTTCGAACAAGCATTTGGGTTTAGATCAACCTCATCGCACAGGAACGATGCCAGCGTGTTGAAACAAGTTCCGCGACAATTCGGGTCTTTCGACGTAGTAGTTATAGTTGACCATAAACCTGATAAAACGATGAACGTGAAAATACTGTAAAGAAAACGGATTGACAATATATACTCACTGCCAAGAACATTGCTCAGCATAGGGGCTGAATGCGAAACGGACGGAGAGTTCGACGTCCTTCCCATAGTATCGACAAGGTTATACGACACGCTTTCCGTCGTTGCGACGGTAACATAGATCAGAAAACCCGCGCACCTGAAAAACACCTCCGCCATGTCGAACACGCTTCACTCACGCTGAGATCTCCCAGTTTAAGGACTTCAGCTGACCCACTCCGAACTCCACTTTTTTCCTTGGGCGCCGCCATGTTTCCTTGCTGCTGCCCTCTATATCCGTCAAATACATGTAAGTACTGTACTGTTAGTGTATTGTTCCTGTTTCTTGTTTCAATGCAGACATCTATTACTATGGCGCAGAAAGGACATCAAGCACTTTCCTTGCCAAGCATGGTTAGCCGTTATAGGTTAGGGTAGGGTAGGTCAGGTTAGGTTAGGTTAGATTAGGTTAGGTTAGGTTAGGTTAGGTTAGGTTAGGTTAGGTTGGTTAACTTAGGTTGGTTAGCTTAGGTTGGTTTAAATCTTTAATATTTTTTTAAATTTTCCCTTTGTAACCTGAATACACTTTTGAAGAAAATTTTGTCCATGAATTGCATAAAATAATGACTGCCAGGAGTGCCAGCTGACCCTGGATAGGAGGGGGAAGCAGTGTCCCTGCGCCTGTCTGCCTGCCTTTTGTTTTTTGGAGGAAGAGGTGCATGATCTTGTCCGACCCTGGAGGGACGGTTGCTAGAATTTCTGTGGTGTTCAGTACCATGGGAATGTTGTTTTGGATACATACAAAAGAGTTAAGCCCATTTTATCATTTTTATAGAAACCATTAACATACTTGACACACTTTTTGGCTCATTGATGCTGGTGTGAGTAATTTTCATTATTTTTAATTTTTTTAACCTTAATTACAGCAGATTATATGCTTGAATCTTGAGGCGTCCGCTGTATCAGAAAATTAATGTGCAAGACTACTGTGAATTAAATATGTATTATAATACATGTAGCAATTTGAAAAACATTGCCAAAGATTTCTTGTCCTCAAAAGACCAAGACAGTCATTAAATATGTGCTGTAAATTTTGAAAATTTGAAGAATTCATTCATTTTCCAATTTGCCAATGCATACATTTGTGAGAATAAATCTTCACATGTGGTGTTTTTTACTTCCCCAGAAGTTCAAATGTCTCACAGAATCAGCAGTCACAATGAAGGAGGAAGTTTCAAAATTAAAATTCCGCTGGTTATGCACCACTCTTCTAACTGAATGTCATGAAAGCTCTTTTTCTTTCCCCTTAAAAAAAGCTGCTTGAATATTTACTTCTCCCAGCTTTCATTAGTTGAGCTGCACTCCTGAAAAGTTCCTCAAAACATTCACCTTTTTCCAAATTATTCAAGTAATCACTGGTTCTTACTTTCGACATGAGTTTCAAAGAACTGAAATCTGGGCTTCTGCTTTGAAGCAGGTTACTCACCTCATTGATCTTACTGATATACAGTACATGTACTTTGATTATCATGCCACATACGAGAGCAGGACGAATCTGAAGTGAATCAATGGATGCATAAGCTTGCCTGAATATCCCTGCAGCAGAAACTGTTTGATTCAGGGTCGGTCATTTCTCAAAGTTCTGGCCTTTTTTTCTGGTTGACTCTAAAAGAAAAATTAATCTTCCACTTTCGAGGACGAATGTTTCACAGAAAACATCGAAATAAACGGCCACGTGCATTTTCAGGGCTTCTCACTTTTTAAATACATCCCCATATACCCTGTATATTTATCCGACAATTGACGATTTTGCATAACCAAAAAAATTACCATACTTGCGCATCAAAACTGAGATTTTCCAAAAATATTCTTGCTGATTCCTTTCTACATTTGAAAATGAATGACTGACTTCAATGCATCCTGTGGTGAGTGTGATAAAAAAATATCCGACTCATACAATTATTATAGTCTATTTATTATATTTTACCCTGAATACGAAATAAAAAATATCAAGCTTTGAGTTCACATCAAAAATTCCCCGAAATTTTCAAGGAAATGCCGAAAATAATTCATGCTATTTTTTTGCATGTCGATGTTCTCGTTCTTCCCCTACAAAATTTACACATTTTAGCAATTTAAATGCACGTATTTCAACAATTGAGTTGCTTCGGATGACGTACAGCAGAAAAACTAGTTCGTGAAGAGTGGTATCGGACAAATTTTAAAAATGAGAGAGAATTTTTGGAATCGTAACCATGGTTTCTGCATGTGAATAAAGATGAACCAATAAGTAATTGTAACACAAAAACAATACGATTTTTGATTTTAAAAAAATTGTGAAGGACTGGAATACTCGAATGCTATTTGGAAACCGAAGGTTCTGTCGCAAGAAGCTGTCGATTTTCGAGTTACTTTTTTTGCTTTAAATAATCGCAGTTTTTCAACATTCAAGCCATTATGGGTTCAGAAAATTCTGCGCGTTGGGCCTCTTCCAAGTGCAGCTTCGCTCGACGCTGTTTCCTTTGCGCCAATTTTTCTTGCAGAGTTGCTTCCACGTGAGTTTTTGCTGCGACTTTGCTGCTGTTATACTGATTCATGTCTTCCTTGTGCTGGGCTGTCAGCTCTTCGAGTCGACCTGCGAAAAAAAAAAAAATTCGCGAGCTTTGAAATTCGCAATTATCGCAAGCGATGAATTCAGCAAGAATGAACAACTTCTTTAGTAAACTGCGTGCAGTACAATTTTTGAAGGTGTGTTCTATACTTTTGCAGTCTTAATAATGACGTAGTTATGTTACCTACCTTGTTTCACTTCTGTTAAAGGGGTAATTAGGATTTTATAATTTGATCAGTTCGAATTCTCAGATGACTATAAATTTAAAATCAATCACATGTCTGACTTTAAGGGAAATTCATTCAACATTTTAACTCAAATTCTCGTTTTTCTTCATGTTGGCAATATAGCGGATCTATTATAGAATGTATAAAATGATGTATAAATAAAAAATACCAATTCATGCTTACCAAAAACATCTTCTCTGGTAGGCAAAGGAGCCATTTTGAAATCGTCAGGCAAGGTTCCCATGTCAGCTGACTCGATTCTGCTCATGTCCATCTAAATGTTGGATAAACCATTCTCAAATAATCCTCTTATGACTGATGCATTCTATCAAGAGATTACTATTTTGTAAATACCTCTCGAAATGCTCCCAAGGAGCATTTGAAAAGTGAATGTGTGACTATAATCATCACTGCATATTCTAGCCTTTATCCTATTGAAATCAACACATTCTGTGATCCACATTTCAGAAGAAAGGCTGAAAGCATTGATAAAAAGAGGATAATTCATTTGAATACTGCAAAAGCCTTGAATTTTGGAAGCAGTGGGACCTCAAGATATGGACATAGTTGGTGCTTGGACAATGTCATTATGTTGTACTGTCCACATGGTAAATCAAATTTCCCATAGACTACCGTGTAAACACATTTAATTGCTTCTACTGCATATATATACAGTCAAACCTCTCTAAGTCGAATTTCAAGGGACTCCCAAAAAATTTGAATTAGGTAAGTTCAGAATTTTACAGGTTCAAACTTGGAAGAATGTAAATGGTGATATTCTGGGGCTTAAAAGACTTTGAAAATGAGCTGAAAAGGCTGCTGAACTTGGAGGCTGGGGTTCATTTTCCCAAATAAGTCTTTCACGTTCTTTAAAACCCATTCATTTCTGTTTTTATCGCTTTTTTTCTTTCTTGGGATAAGAAAATAATGGCCGACAGGCCACAGAAAATTTGACTTATGGAGGTTTGAGGGAAAAGCTTTCAACTTAGAGAGGTTTTTGATCTATGGTTCCTAAGAGGATTCAGAAAAGGATATTTTAAAAAATTGACTTAGGGGGCATTTGACTTAGGGAGGTTTGAGTTATCAAGGTTCACCTCTATAATGCATCCAGAATTATAGGACTAAGTCCCAACAAATTGAATACATTTTTGTTCAACTGGAGGATGCATAAAATAAATGCACAAGAAAACCGCACAAAATCTGATCTTTTGGCACCAAAGGGAGCCGAAGAAAAAAAGAACAAACACATAAGTCGTCCTATAATGTGTACAGATAGAGGAGGAAACGGTGAAAATATCACAAAAGTTGTCTCGTTTTTATTATGAATTCATGTAAATGCATGACGATTTTTTTCATTTCTTTGAATATGAATATGGCTCACTTTTTTTCAAGATATACCCAAATAAAACTCTAAAAAAATTATGCATATGTCTAGAAGGGTTGGAAAAGTTTCTGCATCTTGAGAAATTTTTCTGGATTCCAAGCCAGATTTTTTTTTGTTTTGTTTCAAGTGTCCCCAAGTCAAATCATCCATATGTCAGGGCTTCCATGTGTTGAGGTCCCATTGTGCAATATAATGCAATTATAGTGCAAAATAAATTACCATCGAGTTATTTCGGACCAATCCAGTGCCGCTCAGGTTTTCTGTCAGCGCCAAACTTGTTTCCCCAAGACCCGAGTTTGGGGGAGTCTCCAAAAAATCGGGATTCACATCCACTGGACGTCCATAAAGTTCATGTAGCTTGAGTAAAACATAGAATCATTCTTGAATTGAAATTAGCAGAACCTGATTGTAAAAAGCCTCATTCATTAAAAAATCCCCAATAAAGATGTTAACAACAACGCTGATCTGGAAACATGAATTGAATATAAATGCATGTTTTACCTCATAATCAGGTGCAGAGAAACTCGGTTCCTTCATTTAATTTTATCGGTTTTTTAAATTTAATTCTAACGGAAATCAGCTCAGTTGATGACCAAAATACTGTATCAATCTGCATCCATGTACTGTATATATAGTACCTGAGTTGCTTTCATCATTGGAGTTTATTTTTTTTAAATGCCTCACATTATTATGCCTCCAATCACGAGGATTAACTTATTTGAAAATACCTTAGGAACATTTTTATAGATGAGCTTTGAACTGGAAGAAATTTCAGGTTCTTTTTAACCTACATATTAGTCTCATAAAGAGGATTTTCAATTGGACCATTCTTCAAAAAAAAAATCCAAAAGCAGTCCCTAAACCATTTCTGCTTTCATCAGATTTTTACTCTGATGCAGTCGTCACTAAAAGAAACAAATTTCTCTCTCTCTCTCTCTTTTGGTCTTCAAAATGTTTTTGGAATAGACGACTACTTCAACTGCTTGCAGGTGAGTTTTCTAGAGTTTTGGCTTGTTAGAATTTTCTTCTTAATTCAATTGACTGTTTTTACTCAGAAATTCAAATAATTTTATTTCTAATCCACAAAGATTTTCAGAAAAACAGTTTGAGTAGTTTTCAAGGAAATTTTCATTTTGTGTTAGCATAAACAAGTTTGAACAGGCACACATTTAATTTTAGACAAGAAGATGGTCTCATTATGAAGTCTGGAAAATAAGCTAAAAGTAGAGGCACCTCTATTTTCAAATCTGACCAAACTTGGTCACGGGAAAGTGCAATGTCACCAATGCAGATTGGCATAGACACACTTCTTGCAAAATAAATGTAAGGCAGGAACCTATGCATAAAAAAGGTATTCTGGATAGCAATGGAATAGCTTGAAGCAGAGCACAAATGGAGCAAGTGTGCATTTAATAAGTCCATTAAGTGAGTTCAGTATTGTAAGTAGTAGTCATCATTGTTAAGGAGAAACTTACCTTAACATAAATATGTTTGAATTTTTGCTAGTGGATCAATTTATTAATTGAATAAAGTAAAGTTTGTAATTATTTGGAAATAAAAGTCAGAATCAGCCTGGGACTAGGCCGGGGAACCTTATTTTGGTTTCCCTGATTTAAATTAGAAGTATATTTCAAGATATTTGTCCCACAAAGATAGCAGACAAATACTAAGCTCTTCAACAATACAACACTCAACAGAACTCCACTGATATTTTTAGATTTTGCGATTTTGGCAACAGTTCAGAGGTTTGATTCAAAGTGGCTTGGATAATTTTGTTCTCCGGTGAAATCGGGGGGAAACGGAAATTGGTTTCTGGTTTTCTTTTGTTGAATTGCTGTTATCCTTGGTGAGTTCCTTCCCTTTGAGGGTTGGAACTCTTATCACATTTTCATGGTTTTTTATAATTCATTTTAATTCAATTTTAGCATTGTTCGGTGTCCGGCGGTTTCCCAACAATCATTAAATATGACTGCACACTCTCCAGAAATAAATTGTATCCTCATGTAACAACACACTTTACACAATCAATTTTGCATGAATTAGAACATACTCCGAGCTTAATCTGGGAATTCATCTTAAAGGACGCAAAGAAATCATTGGACTCAATCCATCAGGCAAAGACTTGAAACCCTCATCACCTTCATGAAGAGGGAACAGTATATACTTTATGTAGGCTCACTCACCTTTGTCTTGATCAGATAAACTCGTTCTCTGCGAAGTGCCAGAGTTTTCATCTTGATTCTATCATTTATTTCGTGCAAATCCTTCGTGAAATATGCTTCTATAGCCTGCAAAAAAAGTCGACAATCAATACATCAATCACACATTTCTGAAGTGCTGAAGTCGAGTTGCGTCGAACATCTGCCCCCAATCGAAAAATATTTTTCAGAACAGTCAAGAAAGCTTACTTGCTTCAGCCATTGCGACAATGCCAGTGAGCGATGATGGATGGTGACATAAACATCAGCAGCATGTGTTGCTCTGTCTCTTTCTTCAGCATCATCAGATATGTATATCAAAGCCTGGACATGAGGGAAAAAATATTAAATAAAATTTGGAAATACAGTAGTCAACATAACATTTCTCTTTTTTCTGCAGATCCAATGAAATTAATCCTGCATTTAATACCCGCATTTTCTTCTCGCTAATGAATAAAAAACGGGGTTTCAATCAAATTAAAAGCTTGTTTCATTGCATTGAATCCTGGTTTCATCACGTTGAGGAAGCCCGGGACTTTCATACACAGTGACATTCCGCTACAACGAATTTTTCACTAGATGAAGGAATTCTTTCTTGGCCCCAGCAGTTTTTCTATCAATGCCATATTATAAAATCTCAGTGTAATAATTTTTGGTCCCGATTCTGTGCATAGACCATCGGGATTACTTTATGATAGACAGAGAAGAAGAAAAGTTGAACTGGTGCAGTACCCAACCAAAAGTCCTCCTGCCAAAAGCCCCCCAAGGTCAAAAGCACCCAAGGTCGAAAAGTACTGCTGTGTTGCATAATTTCAAAGATGTTCCTTTCCATTTCACCAGAGTGACTTGGACATTATGACAGATATTCAATTATCTCTACAGTATAGAAGCACTTCGAAGTATTGATTACCCATTTCCTGAAACATTTCAGTCTAAAATGTACTGTATTAAAAACCATGAATCATGATGCGAGAAATTTTCCTTTGAAAAAATTTTCATCAGGTCCATATGGGATTCTGTTGTAACAAGATTTTACTGCATCATTATACTAGAATAATGAAAAGCGTTGATTCATACATTGAATGCTGGGTAAACCAGCTAGGAAAGAGAATCGCGTGAACCTGGAATATTCAAAGTTTCACTTGACAAAAAGGGGGTGCAATTTCAAAGAATATCTTTCATATTTCCGTGCATACCGTACCTGATTAAACACCGTCAAGTCCTCTCGATCGCAATACGGAAACTCCATCTCGACGTATTGCTGTGCACTCTCGAGATTCTGCGACGCAGCGCTGAAGTATTCTTCGGCTTTCTGCACAGTTTCTTGCATCCCGTCCCTCGTGGCTCCTTCTTTCCCCTGCTCTCTAATGTTCAAAATAAAACGTTTCCTAAACAACTTGTAAAAAAAAATGAATAAATAAAATAAAATAAAAAACGCCAGAGAAGAACACAGTGCAGTGAACACGAGAACCTGCATCGAGGGCGCAAGAGGTACTGTCCACCGCTGCAGTACGATTGCAAAAAACTTCTTAAAAACGAGACTTACTGATTCAATCCGAACCGAATATCACTAGGAGAATATTTCACGGGCCTAACAACATTTCTCGGATTATAAATTGAGATGGCATATGATAATTGAGCTGAAAACAAGTATTTTTCTAAAAAAAATTCTTTAATTTCCAGAAGAAGAAAAAATGTAGCCCTATTGAAAATATTTTGCGGAGAATTTGTGAAAAATTCACCTTGGCAGCAAAATACTCTTTATTCAGAAGACGAGGGGCCTATCTTGCAAGTTTTTTTTTTTTTTTTTGGTGTAGCACAGCTTCTCCTTCAGAACTCCTAGAATTTGCATGGCATAAAGTCAGAGATTGCTGCCATATAATTGATTATTAATTCTGCCATTTTCATTAGCTGAAATATTCTTCTGTTGATGAAATTGGCAGAAAAACCTTGGAAGACCTGGAGTCAACCCTTGGAATAAATGCCATTTTGATTTCACAAATTCTGAAGGAAAAGCCGGGCTATGCACCAACAAATTCTGAAAGATGGGTGCCTCATCCCTTGAGTGAAGAGCAGAATACTGTCAGGGTGACTTTTGCAAAAATTATCTTCAAAATATCAAATGCAAAACAAGATTGAATTTGTTCTCAATTTTTTCTGAAAAATATTTGTTGATCTGCTCAATCTGATGCCATTTCAATTTTCATACCAAGAAGTTTTGTTAGACCCTCCTGTTTGATCGCATAGAAAAAGTTTTTAACCCTTGGAATTTTGTAATTATCCTCAAATTTTGTTAGTTTGAATATTTCCTGCAAGGATTGGTTTGCACCCTTGTGTTTCAGTTTGACTGAAGTTAATCAAAATGCAGCTTTGGCTGATTAGCCAAAGTTGGGGAAAATATGAGAAACAGAAAGCCATTGTTCTGTTAATCCCTCAATGATAATCCCTTAATTTATTCCTATGACAGGAATATAGTATACAGAAAAAATGGCACCTGGGAGTAACCTTTTTTCTTTTTTTTTTCAATAAAAAATTTTCTGCAGGAGGCTAACAAAAAATTTAGGATTTTCTCCAAATTTGGCTCTTCTAATCATTCCTGTTTTCTTTCTCTTTTTTTTTTTTTACTCCTTGTGGCAAAAAGTTTTGCAGATAAACCCTGGCACCTCTGCCCAAGGGTTACATCTTATCTTTTTGCATTTCAAATGATTTTCTAGCAATTGCAGTGAAGAATTAATTACTTACTCGTCCATGTGAATCTGAAGTATATTCCTCCAGAGCTCTAGACCTCGATTTATTTGCAGGGCTGAATAGTCCACCATAAGTTTAGCTTGACGCCAACCTTTGTTGACCTCGATGATTTTTGCTCTGATGAAGGTCAAGTCTTCGAGTTCCTTCTCCAACTGGAATTCTCTCTCACTCCCGTATTTACCTCCGAACATTCTGTCTGTGAAGAAAAGTATGGAGGGTCGTGTTAGTTTAATTACTTCCATGATCAGGGCTTGCCTTTGGCGAGGGATTATTCTTTTAAGCTCAAAAATACAGCAAAATGGTGCCAAGGTCGTCTTTTAATTTTGAAACTCGACAATGAGCTTTTCCCAGATTTGCTTTATGATTTGTTTGATTCAAAAAACTGTCTTATGTAGAGCATGAGTTTTCTAAAAAAAAATTGTAATATTTTCAATAGTTGATCTGTTCCTTATACAGTGAGACCCCACATGCGGACACCTCAACCTGCAAACAATTTGACATGGGGACACTCATTTTATCATAAAAAATTAATAAAAAAGGCCCAAAATGAGGACACTGACTCAACATAGGGACATTTTGTTATAAAATTGCAAATACATTTCAGGCAAATTTACAAGAAACGGATATTTCCAACCCTAAAATTGGTGTAAGAAAAGTTCTTGGGCTTTTCTCTCACAAATTTACCATCCTTTAGCTAATTAAAAAATTACCTCCAGTAGAGAGGACTTCATTCTCTCTTTTTCCTTTGAATATTATTTTTTTTACAGAGAATGCCAACATTTCTATGTATTGTATCCAGAGGTACCAGTATTCCATTCCCTAAATGCCCATATTGTGTTGAAATGCTCATATAGATTGGAATCAGTTTAAATTGGGAGACAATTTTTATTTTCATGGAATTATGGTGAGCACTGTATTTTGTAAATAAAACACCAAATGAAAATTATATAATGTAAGTCTAAGGGAAAATGAGACCAGACTTGGGGACATTTGAACTTAGGGACACTCTTGATGCACCAATTACATCTTCATCTGGGGGTCTCACTGTAGGCTCACAACACAGCTGCGCTATACGTAGAACACTTGCAAATTCTGCGTTTGTTGCTTCGTGGAATGAGTTATTACTGTATCACGAAATTCGATTCGGAAACTCTGAATAAATTTGAAAACTGGAAGTCCTCGTCAATTCTCAAACATTGTAAAATATTTTTTCGAAATCCTTTGAGTGAGTAAAATCCAGGAGCAGCATGTTTCTGGCACAACTGGAAAGTAATCCTTTGCCTGACGTCGACCTCGGAATACATTTCTCGAAATCTTGTCAAATTTCCCTGCACCGTTCCACGAATACAATAAGAAACGAATGCATACGATGCATGTAATAAATTCTTTAAAATTTGGTTAAAAAAAATTAATAAATGTATCATCATGCAGAATGAAATCTTGTAATTCCAACCTAAAAGCTCGTCCTCGCGTTGGTAGAGTTGAAGCAGGCGTTCTGCTGGACTCGTCAGCGCACGTGCTTCTTCCTCCAGCCCTGCCTTGCGCTGCTTCAGCGCCTCCAGCTCCTGGCGAAGCGTGACCTACAATACAGCAAAACTTTGTCACAACAAAATCTTGTCATATAAGGAATTACTAGTATGTAACACAGGGGTCGTTTTCCAGGTACCTGCCCCAGTGCAACACTTTGCAATGTACTGTATTTACTCAAGTACCATGCACCCTCAAGTAAGGCATGAACAGGGGTTTTTCAGTTGAAAATTTTGCAAAAATCTTATCCCCAAGTAAGACGCGCACCCCAATTTTTATTGAATCTAAAACCATAAAATTTCAAAAATAAAACAAAAAATTTGACTTTAGGCATGAATTGAAGAAAAATCTGATGAATTTTCAACTTTTTCAATACAAAAATGTTCTCTTGTTATATTTGTTCCAAATTTCTCCATTATAATTAAGTATAATGCAAACCTAGCTTCCTAAAATTTCTTGAAAATTTTGTACCAGCTTATGACGCGCACCTTTTTTTTTCTTCTGAAATTTGGGGGAAAAGGTGCATGTGGTACTTGAGTAAATATGGTAATTTGAATCAATTCATCACAAATTTATTTTTATACAGTATAATGAAGCTGTTGCAGGAAACAATTCCCTGCATCCTATATAGAGGCAGGGTACCAAAGGAAGTTGATGTGCAGAAGCACTCATCAGGTGAACTGGGAATTCCCAGTGATCAATGGATAATCAGCACTACACCCGTTTTTCTCTCCTGGTTTTGATGGTGCAATTCTTGTCTTCCTCAGAAAATTTTTTTCTCTCTGATCTCAGCCGTTTCAGTTTAACTTTCATCCCAATCTGTTGCTATTTGCTGTCACTTTGCTTGTGTGAATTTGGAATTCTTTGCAATTCATGTGAAATACAATTATTCTTGTCTTTTGGCATTCTACTGAGAATCCCCTGCCTTGTTCCTGGGTGGATTGTTTGTTCACATTTATTTATTGCTTCAATATTCATTCTTTGTGGGCCTATGCCCTACAAAATTCCCAGACCCAACAGCATTTGTTTCAATGAGATTTTACTGTTGTACATACAGTCAAGCCTGGATAAGAAGCCATGATCTGTTTGTCAGAGTTGTGGTGGTCTGACAGGGTAGGTGATTTAAAGGTGGTTGTTGTTTGTTCCTCAAAAAAGCTGGAATTATATGAGAATGTGGTAAAATAAGAAATAAAATTTGTATCATTCTACATCTAGAAAATAACCAAAATGACCCAAGGTTGTATTAATCATTACTAGCTAATGTTCCCAAGGAGCATATTTCATCTGTGTGCTTGAGATTTTTTTTATTTGTAGACCTCTCCCGTAACTTGAAACTTTGGTGAGCTATCAAAAACAAAATTATTTGGCAGCAGCTTATTTCAGTTGTACGTAATATTTGAATATGGCTTGTGGTATTTCATTTGGTTTCCAGTGCTATCATCAGGACATTCTTTTTTACCAGGATATACAGGTGATACCCAGCAATTCAATCTAAATTCATTGCTGGACTATACAGGGTTGAACTGTGAAGCAGTTGACTTGAAAGACAACATCAAATGCAATGTTTTCTTCATCACACAATTGAATCAAATTTCAAGGGACCAGGAAAAAAATGACTTAGGGAGGTTTTGAGTTGTAGAGGTTAGGGCTAAAAAACAAAGCCCTTTTGTTTAATGGGAACATAGAGGAATTGCCCAACATTGTAAATGGTGATATTCTGGGGCTGAAATTGCTTCTTCAAGAAGTTAAAAGGATGCTGAACTGTGAGGCTGGGGTTCTTTCGCCCAATGAAGTACTGTACAGTATTTCACCATCTTTAAAAACGCATCAATTTATGTTTTTATTGATTTTTTGCTCTTGTGTCAAGAAACTAATAGCCAACAGGCCACATAAAACTCAACTTACAGAGCTATGAGATTAAAAACCTTTGGCTGATGGAGATTTTTAATGTCTTGTTTCTAGGGGCACTCAGTCTGTAACCAGAAAAAATTGACTTAGGGAGGTATTTGATTCAGGGAGGTTTGAGTTATCTATAGGTTCACTTTGAGTCTCGCTGTGGGTCATATTACAGGGCAGAGGTCCATATTGTGAATTTACCTCCCAGCAAGTCTGATTGTTAAATTTGCAGGGTAGATGAGTTTAGGAGGGTTGAATTGTAAGGTACCACCTGTATTGGAGGTTTCCAAAATGGGTGGCAGCTTATTGGGGGTGTCTTGATAGGGTTTGACTTTGTTGTACATGCTTTGCACTGCAAACGCAAGAATTCAGACACACAGTGGGGCCCCAAGATGTGTACAGTACATCATTGGCGCTTGGACCTAATTGTTTCTATCTCCACTGGCTTTGACCAACAGAAAATAAGTCAGATTTAAATAAATTGCGAGCTATTCAAAGTCTGAAACAAGAAAATATTATGCCACCATTAATTAACCATGTATTAAGATAAATGAGCAAAAAAGTCTTCTGAAAAAGCACAGTGTACAGAATATTTTCCAAACCTTTTCATTAGCGAAAATGACTGAAAAGCAGTGAAGGATAACTGATAATCCAATTCTCCAGATACAGAAACCAATATTACACCAGCACAGATAATCTTGAGAATTTGTCGAGTTTTTATTGAAATGCCACGAGTTAATTGGTAACAATTTCAACAGACTTTCATGCACCAAAGGGATACTGGCATTGTGAACGTCACAATTTTCAAAACAGATTTGTGCAATTAGAACCTCTTCTCTGCCTTTATTGATGTTGCACTTGGAAAATTGAATGAACTCTTCTGCTGATAATGTAGTACTGTACAGTACTTGGTTTTTGATTCAATAAGGATGATTCGAAAGAGAATGTCAACTCCAGCATAATTGGTGATTCTTTGCTGAGGATTATGTTTTAGGGAGAAACTTCTTCAGAACAAACTGTAATGCAATTTAATAAATTTTGACAGGTATCAGTTGTGGCAAAAGTAAAGAGAACCACCAGTTTAATCCTGGTCCACTTTCAAGGAAACAAGCCATGTCTTGATGAACTATCTAATCTAGTGTATGATAATAAAGTCTTATTGTGAATAATCATACACTCGACTCACAATCCTTTCCAAGTTCCATTGATCAGGGAGCTAGGGGGGGATAACAGAGCATATTATTTCATCTGTGTTTTAGATATTTTTTTTAAATTTGTAGACCTCTCGACCCGTAACTTGAAACTTTGGTGAGCTATCAAAAACAAAATTATTTGGCAGCAGCTTATTTCAGTTGTATGTAATATTTCAATATGGTTTGTGGTATTTTCATATGGTTTCCAGTGCTATCATCAGGAAATTTGTTTTCCAGGATATACAGGTGATGCCCTGCAATTCAACCTTAATTCATTGCTGGACTATACAGGGTTGAACTGTGATGCAGTTGACTTATTGAAAGACAACATTGAATTCAATGTTTTCTTCATCACACAGTTGAATCAAATTTCAAGGGACCAGTAAAAAATGACTGTTTTGAATTGTAGAGGTCTGTGCTACAAAACAAAGCCCTTCTGTTTAATGGGAACATAGAGGACTTGCCCAACATTGTAAATGATGATATTCCAGGGCTGAAATTGCTTCTTCAATGCTGTAAGTTAAAAGGATGCTGAACTTGGAGGCAGGGGTTAATTTGCCCAATTAAGTACAGTATTTCACCATCCTTAAAAGCACATCACTTCATGTTTTTATTAATTTTTTTTGTTCTTGTGTCAAGAAAATAATAGCCAACAGGCCACATAAAACTCAACTTACAGAGGTTTGAGGGGGAAAACCTTTGACTTAGGAAGGTTTTTAATGTTTTGTTTTGAAGGGGATTTAGACTGGAACCTGAAAAGAATTGACTTAGGGAGGTACAGTATTTGATTCAGAGAGGTTTGAGTTACCTAGGTTCACCTTGAGTCTCTCCCTGGGTTATATTACAGGGCAGAGGTCCATATTTTGAATTGACATCCCAGCAAATATGATTGTCAAATTTGCAGGATACATGAGTTGTAAGAAGGGTTTAATTGTAAGGTACCACCTGTATTGGAGGTTTCCAAAATGGGTGGAAGCTTGTTGGGGGTGTCTTGATAGGGTTTAACTTTGTTGTACATGCTTTGCACTTCACACGCAAGAACTTAGACATACAGTGGGGCCCCAAGATGTGTACAGTACATCATTAGCGCTTGGACCTAATTGTCTCTATCTCCACTGGCTTTGACCAACAGAAAAAAAGTCAGATTTAAATTAATTGGGAGCTATTCAAATTCTGAAACAATAAAATATTATGCCAACCATTAATTAACCATTTATTAACCATTTATTAAGATAAATGAGCAAAAAAGTCTTCTGAACAAGCACAGTGTACAGAATATATTCCAAGCATTTTCATTAGCAAAAATGACTGAAAAACAGTGAAGGATAACCGATAATCAAATTCTCCAGATGCAGAAACCATTATTACACCAGCACAGATACTCTTGAGAATTTTGTCAAGTTTTTATTGAAATGCCACGAGTTAATTGGTAACAATTTCAACAGACTTTCATGCACCAAAGGGATACTGGCATTGTGAACGTCACAATTTTCAAAACAGATTTGTGCAATTAGAACCTCGTCTTTGCCTTTATTGATGTTGCACTTGGAAAATTGAATGAACTCTTCTGCTGATAATGTAGTACTGTACAGTAATTGGTTTTGGATTCAATAAGGATGATTCGAAAGAGAATGTCAACTCCAGCATAATTGGTGATTCTTTGCTGAGGATTATGTTTTAGGGAGAAACTTCTTCAGAACAAACTGTAATGCAATTTAATAAATTTTGACAGGTATCAGTTGTGGCAAAAGTAAAGAGAACCACCAGTTTAATCCTGGTCCACTTTCAAGGAAACAAGCCATGTCTTGATGAACTATCTAATCTTGGTCAGGCTTTTGCTTTTCATGAAAAAAATCACTGGACAATAATGTTGGGAAACTGCAGACACACGCCAAATAATGAAAAAAGTACATAATTATAAACTACAAAAACCACAAAATCAGATGAGAAAGAAACTTTCGAAGGCTAACGACACTGTCAGAACAATAAAAACCAGACCTGAGTTCCGCACAAAATTCGTCCACCAAAGAACAAAGCAACATTTGAAATCAAACTTTTGGAGTGTTACACATACAGTGAAATCTTTACAAATTTGCGGAAGGGTTCTGTTGAGTTGTTGTGTTTTTTTATATCTGTCTTTGAGTGTTTCAAATGTGGGACAAATTCGAATTACATTAAACCCAATTTAAAATAGGAAATCCACCAGGATTCCCGGCCTAGTCCCAGGCTGATTCTGTTTTTTATTTCAAAATTTCGAACTTTACTTCAATTTCCAACTTCTTGATCCAGAAGCAAATTTCACAAATTTGTGTTGAGGTAAGTTAATCACTAACAGATATAGAATATAACTTACCACGTCTGCATTTTTTGAGCCAAAAGCAGAGCGAAGACTCCTTCCACTTTCACTTTCACTGAAATCATTGAAAATTTTCAGAATTTATGCTGCGTAATTCAAGGAAACACTCTGATTGATTGATTATCGCCCCCAACACCCAATTTATGATGCATTTCTCCATAAGCAATCCATCAAGAGTAATACTCACTTGTAAATGTGACTCAGCGCATATTCCTTGGTTTTGAGTTCTTGCTCTTTGCTGTCCAGTTCTTCCACCACCTGAGCCAAGGCAAATTGTTTCAGTTCCAAACGTTTCAGAGGACTCGTTTTCTCCATGTCCCTAATACTGTCATCCAGATACATGTACTCGTCCATCGTCGACTTACTGTCAAAGTCCGTCTGCAAAATAAGAACCTTACTAAGTTCAAAACTTCCGATTAGGACTCCAATTCTTATTCCATGACATACTGTACATACATGGGTGATCACAGAAAAATACAGTGAATTATCGCATTCTTTCACCAACAAAATTACACATATTCAATTGTCCAAGAAAAGGATAATGAAGAACATTCAAGAATCCTGCATACATATAACATACGTGAGCTGCTGGTTCCGTGTTGAGTGTGGCTGTTCAGGAAATGCTTCCTGTTTCCTCTCATCATATGTTTCATTTTATGTCGAAATGTTCAAAGAAAGATTTTCTATGCGGGATTGTGCTTCGCATTTTCTTAACATATGATACAGGTGAACTCTCTAGTAGCGTCTATACAACCATGTTGACTACAACAATATTCTTCATATATGTAAAAAAAATTCGTTGTGGTCCCACAGGGTTAACTCCCCATGTTATGGGGATTCTTTGCAACAAAATTCTCTCTACAAGGAATTTTTCTCTGGTTCCCCAGGTTTTGTTGCCAAAAGAATCCTCCTGTTGTATTCTCTCTCCAACAACCTTGTCTTCAATGATTTTCTCTGCATAACAATGTATTTTTTTACCACAGGGATTCTCTCCCCATGGTATCAGGGTTCTCTGAAATGAAATTCTCTCTACAACGAATTTTGTCTAGTCCCTTAAGTTCTTTTTAGAGAGAGTCCACCTGCATTTCAATCCAAAAATACGTGCTGACTTTGTGGGGGGGGGGGGGGGTTCCCTAAGGGTGTGGGTGCATTTGATTTGACCATTTGACTCCTGGAAATTTGCACATATAAGGGCTGTCCCACTTGGGTGCGACCTTGATTATTGCAAGAGTATTTCAAAACAAAGAGTGTGACATAGCCCATAATGTTGTAAGTTTCTGGGAATTGAAAAAAACATTCTTTTAATTTTACACTGCAAGATTATGATTGAAAACTTACCAAACAGGTGCGGCCAGAGTTCTTCCTCCCAAGCTAGATGGTGAGAATTTGTCAAATTAGGGGAAAATTGATTTTTTTTAAACCTTAATATATTTAATATGATTGTTACCCTGGGATGGTGGCAGCCTCCTTTCCATCCCAGAGCAAAGTTGAAGTTATTTGGTTGGGCCTCCATTACATTCATATCCAAGGTTATGCAATGCCTGCCAGGCAGGGAAGGGCAAATTCTGCTGTTATCCAGGGATAAAGAAATGCTGCACAAATCCTAAGTCTGAATTTTTCCCATCTGACCTTTTATCTGGGCTCCTGGCTTTTAAGCTTAAATTCAATCATTGAATAGGGAAAAACACAATGCCAGAGGAAAAAAGTGAGCCTTGAAGATTTACATTTTACATTTCTGAGTGAAATTTTTCTATGAAAAATTTTTAAAAATACCAGGATTTTTCCCAACTTAGCCCTGCACACACTGTCATGGTTTAAAAAAATTCACTCTTGAGTGAACCCAAAATCTGCAAAAAAGTCCAACTTTGTCACAGAAGGGTTAAAACAATTAGCTTGACCCAAATTATTTTTGGTACTCTGTGAATTGCGTGGAGAACTCTGGCCAGAACTCAAAAGTTTTCACTCAATCATGGTGCAGTACAAATTGAAAAAAGTAAATTACGAAGCAAATTCCAGAACCTCACAACACCATAGGCTGTAAATTTTTTTTACAATCATGCATACTCTAAAAATAAGCCAGGTCGCCCATGAGTGGGACGACCCCACGCTTTTTGTGTGTGTATGTGAGGATGTCCTGCTATGTGGTTGCAGGACGTTGTTTTTCTCTATTTTGCAGAAATAAGGGTATGGGTGACCCAGGATTTGTTTATTTGCGTGTGTGTGTGCGCATTCACCTGTCGACCCAATGGAGGGGCGGAGTGCTGACGACCTCCGTTGATCTGTTGTTTCCCTCCAACGCCCAGAAACGCTGAGTAGGCTTTTCTGGTCGTAGCTGCCCTTCCTCTGTCAAACCCAGCTTGCTGTTTATTGTATTGGAGACCATAAAAGGAGTACATTCCTAAATCTCAGCACAGGTTTGTGCATACAGTACATCGGTGACAGCGAATCTCATAATTTTTGAATGGAGCTCTGAAAATTTTTTCCATGAAATATGAACAATCCCCCTTCCGCTTTTTTAAAAAGAAATCCCTGAAGTCTGGCAACGGAAGTGTGTGTCAGCCTGAAGAATGCATGCATGTCAAATTCAGTCACAGCTCTACAATAAGTCTAACTCAGAGAACCCACAAAAACTTGAAACAGAGGTTAGAGTCAGGGAAACTAGCATTTTGAGGTGAAAAAAATGAAATGAAGATCCAATCTGTGATGTTCTGCCTCTTGAACTGCTGGGCGAATGGGTTGACGCAATTTGGAAGCAAGGACATACCATATTTGCACATTTAATCACTCATTTCCTTTTGAAATGCATCTGCAGGAGTCACACATCAGGACAGTGCAGCCACTGACCTTGCCAATTTATAAAAAACAAATCTTCCCCAATGATGAGAAGATTAGGAAGACCTTTACAATGACATTAAAGTATTGTTAACTCAAATATATTCCTGCCAATTGATTTTGTCTTCAATAATCTACCAACGTGAGTCAAGTTTCTTTGAGAGGTCTCCAAATTAAAGAAACACAAACACAAAGATGACATAATTTCCCTCTTGGGGATGTTAGCTAGATATGATTCAAGTGCCCAACAGTGTGATATTTTGATTTTTCTTTTGAATTTATAAGATTAAGAATTGTATTTCATGGTATACAGTGAGACCCCCTCATGCAGACACCCCAACCTGCGGACAATTCAAGATAGGGACACTTATTTTCCCTGAAAAAATCAATAAAAAAGGTGACATGAGGACACTGACTCGACGTATTAGGGACATTTTCTGATAAAATTGCAAATACATTTCAGGCCAAATTACAAGAAACCAATATTTTCAACCCTAAAATTGATGTAAGAAAAGTTTTTGGGCATTTCTCTCACCAATTTTCCATCCATTTAGCTAATTTTAAAAAATTACCTCCAGCATAGAGGGACTACTCCATTTTTTCACTTGAATGTTATTTTTGTGAATACCAACATTTCAATGCACATCAGTACAGAGATACACTATTAAATTCTCCAAATGTTCTTATTGAGTTTAAAATGTATTCATTAATTCAAATTCAAGTAGCAAATAATTTCTCTCAGGGAATTCTGAAGAGTATTTCTCCCGTAAAACACCAATTGAAAATTATATAATGTAAGTCTATGGGAAAACAAGACTTGACTTAGGGGCACTCTTGATGCACCAATTATGTCCACATCTCAGGGTCTCACTGTACTTGATTTTTCATATTATTTAAGCTTTCATAATAGACCACCATTCTCTTTGAATTTTCAACCTCAAACCCTAAAAATCTCACAAACAAATATTGGCAACTTATCAAGCTGGTTTGGCTACAGTTAAATATTAATTGTTCGTTCCTTTCCTCAGTCCCCAGCAGAATCATTGCCCAAGGTCTGCTAGGAATGTCATGTAATGAGGTTGAATGGGGAAAGTTCTGCAGTTTGAGAGTTCTTGTTTCATTGTTCTCACATTATTCAGAAAGGGGCTAAGCAAAAATTTGATACAAGGAAGTTTTTACCTTTATTAGGAGGTTTAAGTTATTAAGGTAACTTGAAAAAGGAGCCTTAGCTGAAAATGTAAGCTTTGGGTTGAAAATTAGAGTCACAGAACTGCCATCTCAGTCATATTACAGCTTTCTCTAAAGTCAAGGTGCACTTCCACCTTGAGTGATTATCTGGTCAGATGCATTTTGCTGGAATTCACGGTTTGTTGGAAATTCCTTCAAAGACCAATAAACATCACAATCTTTTGAAGATAAAGCCATATTTTTCTTGAATTAATGAACAGAACACTTTATTCGCCGCTTTTCAGCTTTTCAGTTCACAAGGTTCAATCAATCAAGATTTCTACATCCAAATTCCCTCCCCACCCAACCCAAATCAACTCAAAGATATTTAATCACTTCAGAGCAGGAAAAAGAGCACAAATGGATAAAAATAAATCAACGAAAATACAATCCACAAAACAGAACTGGACATCTGACATGTATGCATACACCCATTCTTTCTTTCTTTCAAAACTTCCCTGTGTTTTATTTTAATACGGCCTTCTTGTGCACGGTAATGATATTAACTGGGATTTTGTACTGTATTTGAATACAGTAAGATAAAACTATTTATTTAAATGCAGCACTGCATATACATTGTTAACAATATTAAACTGCCTCACCGTTCTGTCGAATTCCCTCCATTTCTGCGACTCCGGCAAGGCTCCAGTACCAGTGCTCGCTCCACAACCCATTCCAGGGTTTCTCTTGATATTCAATCACTCTAATCGAATCAATAATCCAATCAACTGAATCTCAGGCAGAATCAGAGGAGCATTGAGAAAGAAATTGTTATTTGGCATCTTAAAAGTGACCTGGAAAGGAAGGGAAGTTAGGGACACCATTCGTCATGCATGTGGTAATTTGCAGTAGATTTCGTTGGTATTAGAAGTATCAAAATAAATTTGAACAATCTTTCAGGGCTGGGCTTGAAAACAATTTTTAATTTCATTGCAGTAAGGAACAACGTCATGGACAAGTATTTCACAATGAAATGGAAATTTCACGAATATTCTGCAGCGCATTTATGCAATAAAATCCGAAGCATGTGGAGGTTCATTTTCAGACTGCGACGCGATATTTTATCATTAAAAATATTAGCTTATTTCGTCATTACTCACGTTCGAAATTTGAGAGAAAATTCTGTACGGCAAATCCAGATCCCGTACTTCTATTTGGGAAAATAATCTGGAAAATAATTCGGGGTTTTCAGCAACAAACAGACGCTTGATTTCGTTCAAAATACTCCTTGGATAATTTTTCAAATGTTCAAGAAGCACTGAACTGCGGACAGACTTCATTAAATTGTTTCAAGAAAAAAGGAACGCTTTCAAATATTTTTCATGTATACATCAGTGATTCCGTGGACTCATAGCCTTATTATTCACTCAGCACCTTGCACAATAAAATTCGACGACGAAATGCCGAGACGCTGAAATTTGGCCTGACTGTTGGTCGATAAGGTGTCCATGACGACGCAGCAAGCATGGACAACATTTCCAAACTGACCACCTTGAACAACAAAAAAAGGCCCTTGCCCAGTTGGCAACTCATAAATTCCTTCTGGGAATTACTTTTGGCGAATATTCACGGCCCACCTTGTGCGCTGCTGGCTGCAATTTTGTCATTCTCTTGGGGACTATGGTTGATGGTTATTGATTGACGTGTTTCTGTTCTGCTTCAAATGCTATTGTGGAATGGAAATCGTTGGTTCTGTGTTTTCTGCAATGCATTGTTGAACAGATATGGATCTTATCATTTTCCAAACTTTTGAAAAATTAAAAGAAGCCAGCGTTTTCTTGTGCACTGTGTTTGCTGTCAGTATTTTAACAATGACAACAGAGGCGCTCAAACTGTCTTGAATCCATCTCCTGCAGAGGGAGCTGTTGGGAAACCACACGCACGCACCAAATAATGGTAAAATTAAATTATAAAATTTATATTTAAACATAGCATCTGATAACAAACGACAAGCCCTTGAAGGGAAGAAAAACCACTTCTCAAGGAGAACCATGCAACTCCAGAAACACAATGAAAACTAGATTCGATTTCCACAATTCCCGAGTTTTACCAAAGAATGAAGACACATTTGCAATTGAACTTTTGGTGTGATCGAGTGTGCTGCAAAATTATTCCAAATTTAAGGAAGAGTTCTGTTGAGTTGTTGTGAGTACAAAAATGTGTCTTTGTGTGTTGAAACATTTTTTGGGACAATTTTAAAATACATTTAGAAGCAATTTTAAATAGGAAATCCTAACAATTCCCAGCCCAATCCCAGGCTGATTGTGCCTTTTATTTCTTTAAATTTGAACTTCACTTGATTCTTCAAGTTTTGATCCACCGGTGAACTTATTCATATTTATGTTAAAAGAAGTTATTCTTTAACAGGAGTCAAGCTAAGGGGGTAAAACCATTTTTTTGTGCATGCTTCCCTCAATAAACCACCAAGCCAGCTAAACTGCCAAAAATATGCTGTACAATTGATACGAACATTGGCAGTTAAACAGGGTTCTACTGTGTAAGAAAAATGATATTACACAAAAACCAAACTTCAATCCTCATACTTTCATGACAATTGTTCAGCATGCTGTGAAATGAGTGGGAAACTCTGATCATGTCCAGAAAGCTTTCAATCCTCTTCATGGAGTGTTAAAAAAATTGTCAAATCTGAAAATGTAGCAAATGATTAGATCGTTGCAAGGATCCAAGTACAATTTTGAATATATTTCCAATTTTTGATGTGAAAATGCCTAGAGGTGTTGGAGTATAGTGTAACCTATATGTGTAGGCACCAACATGCTCAATAACATAAAGAGAAAGGTAGCTCAACTTCCATTATGCTGGACACCAATGCAAGAGTATGGAAGTTTGAATCCATGCTGCGGCAACATCTCACAGTGCATGCAAAAAAACACATTCTCTCTCTCTCTCTCTCTCTCTCTCTCTCTCTCTCACACACACCCACATACACAGCACAACCTCTCTCACAAACACACATCCCCTCACACAACACACAGCACAGCCTCTCTCACAAAACACTCTCAAAACAGTGACTCAGCTGCATGCAAGCTATTCAAGACTGGTGTATATAGCTCCCTGAAGGAGCTAGATTTGGTTGTGTATGCAGTTGCAGATAGCTCCCACCACTAGCATGCTGTCTGCAAGCTAGCGCTTAAAAACATAGCTCCCAAATAATGTGGCTGGTGTGAAAAAAATCAACGAAAAGAAAAAAAATCTTGTAGATTACTGTATTGTGTGAGTATGCCTTTGGCATTTCCTTTGAAGCTTTTCAAATGCTCAAGATTTCCTTTCTTGAGAGCCTGAGGAAGATTTTGAAGCTTAAATCTCTGCATTGGTTCTGAATGTATACTGTGTACTCCAATATAGATTTTTGTACTTTGTGGAATTTTGATACAGAGATTTTTGGGCCAACTGGATTTTCTCTTGCACCCCTGCAAAATATTGGGTTTTGAAGGGATTTACCAGTTGATGAAGCCAACATTTGGAACTGTTCAACTTTTTGCCAACCTGCTTTTGTGCAGCAAATAATTTCCATTTGAAAATGCACTTCCTGACAAACTAATATTGTCTGATTGTAAACTCCATTCATCTATGAGCTTCATTAATTTATTTTCCCTGCCAATTTTCTTGCATTACATTCCAGTAGTTGAAGTGTTCTCATTTATTTCCATTGAGTTTTCATATTTTGTAATTTTGCTGATTTTCACCCGTGTTAGGCAGCAATTGCAGCATTCCCGAACTGTTGGTCTGCAGAACATTTTCTGCAGCATAGTAAATTTATCAAAATTATCAATGAAGTCTGTTCTCTTCATCTGATATTTGGATAGAAAATTAAAATTTAAATGAGGTGATGAAAAAACAATGTCCAACCAAGTGGCTGATCAATGACCATTCATGGCTGATCTATAGCCAAACCAATTGGCCAATTGGTTGGCCATTGATTGGCCACTTGTGTGGACATTTAATTTTAGATACTTTTGACCCAAGACTAAAACAAATGTTTCTCAATTCCAAATGACCACATTGGCCTGAAATTTGGCATTTTTTCCATTTATGCTGATTAATGTCTGAAAATTTCAGATATTTCCTGTGGATATTGAGCATGTGAACTGTCATGGTGTCCCCTATGTTACAGCGTAGGGGGCTGAAGTAATGCACTTCACTATGTGCCCTGATTTTACAATGCTTTTATTTTGCTACAAGGACTTTTTCAAAATATTGTACTTCAATACATCAAATGGGAAAATTTGATATGCTTTTCACATTTATGTTGTCTTGGCAATATTGAGTTTATATAAAAAGTATTGAAAGAGCCAGTTTACAAGAAATATCTACTGGCATGTTGATGGAAGCCAATAGCTAGCATCTTGTTGGTGCTATATAGCCTCCAAATCCATATAGGGCCTGTGCAAGCACACATTGCCCTTGCTAAACTAAGCAGCTCCCAAGTTGCTAGCTAGCTTCCAATTGACAAAAGATCCCAAGGTAGCTCTTTGCCATCATGCATTTCCCCAGCTAACAGCAGATCCCAAGTTCCTTCCTACCATCCACTTGGTGATAGCTCCCAGGCAGCATGCGTTTCCCCCATTCATGGCAGCTCCCAATCCTAGCTAACATATACTTGGTGATAGCTGTCGGATGGAAATGACAAAGACCTTATTGAAATAAGTGTAAACCGTTCGCAGCCTTTAGGAGGCCGGATCCTCCTGAAGGGAGTCCCTTAAGCACTCGTTTATTACAGTGCACACACAACGCCCAGAAACAGAACCAAGATCAGAATCCTTAAGATATCTCAATCATACACACAAGTCACACACAAGACAAGCCCTCAGGAAGGAAATCAGCAGATTTGCCAGCAACCATACAGAAGCAAGGCAACTCGCAGAGTGACGGCTTCGGAGCCTAACAGAATTCAATATTCATAATCGTGATTGTGATCTTTTCACCCGGTTCCGCCAGGCGGTAACCGGGTGCCATTCAGGACCTTGGTTCCGGTGGCGCGTTAACTCGCAGAGTGACGGCTTCGGAGCCTCACGGAATTCAATATTCATAATCGTGATTGTGATCTTTTCACCCGGTTCCGCCAGGCGGTAACCGGGTGCCATTCAGGACCTTGGTTCCGGTGGCGCGTTATTGTAACTTTTGCTTATGTGGAGCCCGAGCGAGGATGCTACGCTCGGGTCTCCCCACGCACTCTCTCGACCCCACAATAGCTCACATGCACCCCAATGAAGATCAGCTAGCTCAAACTTTAGTTAACATACAGATGGACACATCTCCATGATTTCCTAAGCTGAGCATCAATTATGATTGTTGATGGCTTGGTTTTTACTCGAGTCCTAACTCCTTGTGTTCGGGAGTTGGAGTTTCTTCAGGGAGTTGGCTCCTATAACTTGCCAATAGTTATATGCACACTTGGCTATTGCTGGCAGCTCCCCAGAATTCAACTCCCAAATTATTTGCTCGGCAGTACTTGGATTTTCATTTACAGTTTTACACAGTACTTGTCTGATAATTCAGAATTTTCTACACACCATTGCCTACCTTAGTTGCCAAAGGAGGCTTTTTCTGATGCATAAATTCTACTTGCAGGATTTTTGCACTCCTGAAGTTGTTTGGGCCAAGAGGGTTTTCTCATGCAGTCAGCTCTTTCTCAAGGATTCATTTCCAAGACACAAAAATAAGAACCTTTCTCAACCTTACAAAGCATTAGTGACAATAAGACGATAATGTCAAAGCTTCGCGATTCGTCATTGCAGCTGATGATCAATCAATCTATCACTCACCTTTTCTATC